TACAAGTGATCCATCGAGTGATGATTCCGATGACTTCCATCAGTTAGACATAGGAGAGGATCAGTCGTCATCCATCTCCAGGAGCAGCTCTGAATCGTGTCATTCTTTAGGCTCCAATCGATGTCAACGTGAGTGACATTCAGTTCATTATAAGATAAAAAATTTAATTATTTTAGTATTGCTTTGGTTTTCATACAACTCTTGTTTTTTGCACTCTTAAAATTGCATAATTTTTGTTGATTTCAATTTAAAGTATCGAATTAATTGCAAAAATGCAAATGCAGTTCAAAATAGATTATTAATAAATTGTAATAATTTACAAAAACAACACTTAATTTATAAATGAGTTGTTTATACAAAATTTGTACATTAAATGAGAATTTTTAGGAATAATTAATTGCTCTGGAAAAAGAAGTTTTTTAATATGAAATATTTGACACACTTTTTAGGGAAAATAGAGTCAAATGAAATATAGTATTTCAGCCCTTTTTGAATAAATATTTAAATTAAGCAATGTTTCACTTTATGAACCGAAAAAACTGCTTAAAATGAAAACTAAAGACTTGTTTTTGAACAAACAGTGCGAAAATTGGATGAAATTCGGTCATCCCGGTCATCGCTTAATAAAATGCAATTATTTGACGACGACTTTCATAATAATAACAACGAATCGTTGGATGAATTCAGATCGCGATTAAGGCTGAGACGAAGCATCAAAAATAGAGATCAAAGTTATCATAATTACGGCGATAATGAAGGCGATAGAAGCGACTTCTCCTATGACAGCGCAACCAAAGAAGCGCACCAACAGATCCTTAGAAACGCTGAGTCCCTCCGACTCGAACAGGTCAGCCATCCCTTACATCCCATACCATTAGGTCTTACAGTTTAATTGATTGACACAATTCCTGATTGAATTGAATTTCATTCAATACACTATGCATTGCGTGTCTGACAAAAGTTTTTCAAATGTAATCTGAAAGCTATATTGAATTTTCAAATACTCTCAACATGTTAGCTATGATTATTGATAAGTTTTGACTATAAAAGGTTGGGGTCAGGGAATGGGATGGTATCTATTATATAGATTGTAACATTTGCAAATAATCAGTCAAAATTCTCTTAAATCAATAATTTTATTATTTTTATTTACCAAATACACGATTACCTAATACAGTATGTAATAGAAGTAATACATTAAATGTTACTCAATGTAATTCTAGACATCTTTATAGAATTTTTTTATAACAAATACCTAATAATTATTAGAAATAATTTTACAAAACAGACAGAGATTTACAATACGGGTTCAAAAAAGTCCATCCGTTCGCACAAAGCATCCATTCGTGGAAATAAAGGAGAAAAAAGGATAGATTTTATTGAAGAGCAATCAAATAAGTAAATATAATATGAATTGTTTGCAAATATGTCACAGGATTTGCAAAAATAAATTGTTTGCGTTTTCAAACAAATGTTTATAGACTTCAGGAAATCGATAGACGACTGAATCCATGCGATAGTTTTGAGAAGAGGGAAGAGAGCGAAGAGACTCTCAATAAGCTGTGCGCCCGAAGACAGGAAGAGATCAGATTAGCGACACTTTCCAAAAGACAATCTTTAGATTACGAAGAGAACGGATCGATGCACGGCTTACAGAGGAGTTCCACCGATTATTTTGGTCAAGTGGTCGATCATATATCAGATGATAGCCAACAGAAGTCTTTGACCAAATCGACCAAAAAGGGTATCTTCTCGAGCCCTAGACTTCGACACAAAACCCAATCGCAGGTCCTGAGGGCCGCCTCTTCTATTCCTTCCCGTAAGTCATAAAAGTGGTGACAATTAGTCGTTTGGAGGAAATATAATCTTATTTCCAGGAAATGTATTCAGTATTCAGTATTTTTTTCTCTGTATTTTAGTAATATTTCCATTAAAGAGTAATAAAAACAAAAATCTCAATACGTTTGATATGTTGGACTCGTCTAACAGCAACACTCCCGACAGTTTCGGCAGCTCTAAGAAAAGCTCAATCGATGAGGGATTGATATGCAATACACCAAAGACCAGGAGAAGTCCGTTACGATTCTTAGGAAACTTTGTGGACGACAAGCTCTTTAGGGGACGTTTTGGCTCTACAAAGAGGGCTAAGTCTTCAGTAGAATTGGGACGACTCTCGTGGGAAATACCGGACGATCTGACGGATAATAACTCTAATAATAAACTAAACAGAAGAAAGAGTTACAATAAGGAGGACAGCCATCAGAATAACACAGACATGTCTAATGTTAGCCAAAGGGTGACAGTGAGTGAAACAGTGGACACAACGCCCAAAACGAGCGCTTCTATACTGAAACGCAAACCACGATCTCTGAGCACTTGTGTTGGCGATAGGGTTCGGCACCGCATACCCAGCGCTACGTCCGACAGACTCTCGCTATCGAGCTCTTCAGCCATCGGATCAGACGACGCCGATATCTTTTTGCCACAAAACCAAACCATGAGAACTGAGATATCGGCCGATGCTTTGGCTGAGATCGAGGTAATGATAGCCCTCTTATAGGAGTGTTCATACATTTAATTGTTTTTATCATCTCTTATATTAAGGCATTTGAGAGATTGGCTCAAAGTTTACTCAATGAGAGTTCATCTGATAAGTGATGTTATGATCAGTGGATATATCAAATAATAATGAATATATTGTTTCATAAACAGCTATTCGAGTCATTCATCACATCCATGTATTTATTGTAAAAACTAATTGTTATCATAAATCACATGCAATTCAATGAAGTGCTGAGAAAAAACAAACAAAAATTTATTCTCTTATTTGTTGCGATAATTATATAAACAAAAAATAGTTTTGTTTATAAATTAATTGAATACTTAAGAGCAGAATATTTGCATTAAAATATCTGAAATAACTTGAAAACTATACGCAAAAAGGTTGGATATATTGAAAGACAAAAAACAAAATCCCATTTTTTTTATAGAAATACTTTTGAAAATATATTTTTTCTACGAATAACTAAATTTTTGTTTAGGTTCTCGTTTTTTACTCAATTTTTATTTCAGATTAATTATAACAGAAAGAAGTTTTCAAAAACTTTTTCACGCCTTTAAGAGATTGTTATCAATATTTGTGTAAAAGAGAAAGAATTAATTATAAATTTTCTAAAAATAGATAAATTATTTTCTTGTGATAATGTTGTTAATTGTTTTGTTCTCCAATTCTAATTATATTGTAATATATTTATAAATTTTAATTTATTTTTATTTAAATATGTTATAGAAATTTGTATTTTATTTGTTATCGTTATTATATAAATTCCATTTGAGGTACAAATGAATTGTTAACACAAATAATTGTATTCAAATTCTCATTAAACTTTAAAACTACTAAATAAATTAACTAGTACATGTTTTGTTAATTAATAATTAATATTTACACGGTATATATTTATACTTTCACATATTTCCGTAAATAATCATAAGAAGAGTTTATATATTTTTGGAAAGCAGTTGCTCTTTGAAGTCAATTTCAATTTTGAGCTAATTCTGGAAACTCAATGAAAAGCCATCTGCAATCTCTCTCTCTCTCTCTCTCTCTCTCTCTCTCCCTCTCTCTCTCTCTCTCCACTCACTTTTTGTCGGTGCTATTACACTCTGTATGTGTTTTTTCATTTTAATTTACGCTTTAGACATAAATGTATAAACATTATTATACTTTGTTGATTAAAAACCTACGTGTTGTTGGCTATTGGAGGGGTTGGCTATACTGTAGTTGTTAAGTGGTTGCACAGCAAATGCTTTGGATGTTTCAGATGTGACCACTTCTCATAGGAACAGCTGGATTTGGATTTCATAGCGAGGTTTGCCTCAAATAAATTCCCAAATAAAAACCAATTCATGACTTTTACTCATTATTCTGTACGACTTGAATAATAAATTATAATCTGTTTCTGACTTATGATTTTCAGCTAAACGCTAGACTAGTTAAGTGTTTGAAATATATTTAGTGTTTTTTATTTGCTTCTAATTTGTTGTAAACGAAAAAATACATTTTTAATACTAATCTAAATTCAGGCCATAATTATATTGCACGGCATTTAGATGTAAATGTTTTTTAATGAATGATTAAATGATATTTCTCTGCATTTCTCATATGTTTCTTAAATTTATGGCTAAGATTATCGTTGACTTAGAGTAGAGATCGAGAGTTCAATTCTCGTGAATTTGAAACTCGACACGACTTATGCAGAAACTCGTGTTTATTATGTTTTCCACAATCAGACTACAAACATATCCCAAACAATCTTTATTTGTTTAACTTTATTATTCAATAACATAAAACAATAACATAACTAATTTCAATAAATATATTTATCTGATTATTAGGCAGTTCTCGGTTTATAGAGTTTACTCTAGTGTTAACACTATATGTGAGAACGGTATAGTGTTTTCAATCAATTGTAAATAACAAAAACTTAATCTCAAAAACAAGTCAATCCATTATTTCTTTGGCACATCTCATGAATGCAACGAACAATAGTTTTGTTGATCTAATTATTAGCGAAGACTAATGGATGTGAAAACAGCTGCACTTATTGTGTACTTTATAGAAATGTTGGCAACAGTTCCTGCGCTAAATATCTACAATCAAACCATCAAATGAATGGTCAGTTTATTATTAGTTAAACTGATCCTCACATTCGGACGGACCTATAATGGACCATAAGTTATTGTGATTTAAAGCAAACAAATTAATCAATGTTATTTTTGTATATTCAGTATTTCACAAGTTTTAGAAGTTTACTATAAGTTACTAAACTATAAGTTTAGTTTAATTTAATTAAAAATGCAATTCACGTCATATAAAATATAAATTTAAATAATCTTAAAGTAGTTTAAAAACTATTTTTCCTTCTCACATGCTTTGGATTCAAACATATTACTCACTTTCAGTTAAGAATTCATTAATTAAATGTTTTCAAATAAATAAAATACTTTTTTAAATAAAATATTATAAGAATGTTTTACTGTACTGTAAGTTATATAACTTAATGGATAACATTAAAAGTGATAATAAATAAAGAAAATAAAGAAAAACACTTTAAAAGACTACTGTTTGAATGAAATATTCACTGCAAATATTAATAATAATTTATATTCAAATTAAATCTTCTTTTTCCTCAAATATTAGTTAAAATCTTGTTTAATCTCCTGTCGTTTGACTTATTATTAGGATGTGTTTGAAAAGTTCATAAATATTTGAATCCATTTCTGAATGCATTTGTGTATCTCTTTTAATAACAAATCTTTAGATCAAAATCTATTTTTATCACTCAATTGACTAACGGATGAAAGAGAAGGTTTGTGTTAAACCCGTGGAAATGTATTTTAAGATCTCTTTCTGCAAATACATTGTGGACTCAATCTTATATTAATTAAATCTCATTCCCAGTTGTAATATCAGATAGACTATCAAATTTATTCATTTGTTTTTCAAACTTCAATTTAGTTAACTATTGAATCCGAAAATATCTCTTTTGTCGCAATAATATTCATACAAATTTAATACTAAAAGGAAGGCAAAGAGGAAGGAGAGAGAGAGAGAGAGAGAGAGAGTGCAGATGGCTTTTCATTGAGTTTCCAGAATTAGCTCAAAATTGAAATTGACTTCAAAGAGCAACTGCTTTCCAAAAATATATAAACTCTTCTTATGATTATTGAATATTTTGCATAAATACACGAATCGATTATCGATTATAAGGCATTAATTTAATATTAAAAGAGAGAGAGAGAGAGAGAGAGAGAGAGAGACTTTGAGAGGCAAATGGTACGGTTGAGAGGGGAAAGGGTGTCTGTAATGTGTAATAGCATACTGTATCTAATGTATGTATAGTGAGCACAACTGCGCTCTACTGTATGGTTGGTGTGGATGTTGAGTACGATTGTTCACATCAGTACAGCACTGATAGAGTGAGCGCTCACTCACTACTGAACGCTGTATTCCAGTCGTTGTGTTCAGACATTGCTCTCAACGCTAACACACAACCGATCCATACATTTGTGTCTAATTATTGTGTTTATGATAATTGTATTCACTTTTCATATGACATTCAATTGATGAATGTTTGTATTCATGTCTTATTATATATACCATTAAATAAATGTCATTTCAAATGACAGTCGATATCAGGAAATGAGTGACGAATGCGTTGACGACCTGTAAGTCTTCATTCAAATTGTCTTTTATTTCATTCAATAGTTATTATCAAATCAATTGATTATTCATTTGAAAGCAAAAAATGCTATCAATAGTTGCAAACACATTGAAAAGCACTTATTTGCCACCAATTAATCAATTCATATCTCAATCCATGTGTTTGTAATTAAACAGACAATCAATGTATGATTTATTCATACATTTAATACACTATATCTTATCAATCATTTGAATTATCATTCAATATATTTGTATTTTTGCCCAAAAAGTGCCTAAATTTCGTGCTAACAGTAATGTATAGTCATAGCGACCCTTATCTCATGGGTTTAAATGTTTTCATATTTTATATTAAATTAATGTCACATTAGTTAATGAATTGGAGACAATAGTCTTAATGATGACAATTGTGGTCAATGTGTGTAATCGGTGGTCAAATGTGGACCAAATGTGTGATATCATAGCCTTTCTTTTATATACCATTAAATAAATGTCATTTCAAATGACAGTCGATATCAGGAAATGAGTGACGAATGCGTTGACGACCTGTAAGTCTTCATTCAAATTGTCTTTTATTTCATTCAATAGTTATTATCAAATCAATTGATTATTCATTTCCATGTCATTACTGTATTTATCTGAAAAACACATTGAAAAGCACTTATTTGCCACCAATTAATCAATTCATATCTGAATCCATGTGTTTGTAATTAAACAGACAATCAATGTATGATTTATTCATACATTTATACACTATATCTTATCAATCATTTTAATTATCATTCAATATATTTGTATTTTTGCCCAAAAAGTGCCTAAATTTCGTGCTAACAGTAATGTATAGTCATAGCGACCCTTATCTCATGGGTTTATGTTTTCAAAATTTATATTAAATTAATGTCACATTAGTTAATGAATTGGAGACAATAGTCTTAATGATGACAATTGTGGTCAATGTGTGTAATCGGTGGTCAAATGTGGACCAAATGTGTGATATCATAGCCTTTCTTACAGTTTGCAGTAATGCAGTGAAACATCAAACGTATGGCACGTCTCGTCATTTTTGTGACTTATTTTTAAACACGAGTTTTGAAGTGAAATAAAAATAAAACTTCAACTTAAAACTAGAGTCAAAAGTACTTTACTTTCTAATTGTGATTATGTTTAGCATTGGTGCAGACCTTTAGAGTTATTAAACTTTGGATTTCATGACTTTCTTAAGTAAATAAATGTTATTCAATAGCAAAGTACAGTATAGAAAACGAAACACAATTTATATGTTACACAACTAATGGCTATTATAGCCATAAATCAGTTGAATAACTCTTATTAATGCC